AAAAAAAAAAAAAAAAAAAAAAAAAAAAAAAAAAAAAAAAAGCAACAAGTAACATCAGAAGTGTTAGGCAAAGCTGTGCTGACCTACTTATGACCTACTTAATTATACACCATGATAAACAACAACAAACAAACAAACAGAAAATACAACACACACACACACACACACACACACACACACACACACACACACACACCAATAAGAATACCCCCTGAAGGTGATCATAGATGTCATGCCAGTAGTTAGAGGTCACTCTGGTAGACCAGAGCTGAATTGCACCTTCCCTGCTAGAGGACCCAGGTCTAGCTCCCACCCTTAATGGCTCTGCGTAGGCCACAGAAGGTGACCATCTCCATTCTCTCTGACAGGAACCCATCTATCTGGATATCATGAGAAACAGCATAGCTGGTTATGTCCTCTACTACATAGCAAGATCAAGTGTCCCTCCAATAAAAATAAAATCAGCAAGAGATAGGGAGAAGGTTCAGTTGACAACATGCTTGTCTTGCAAGCATGAGGACTTATGTTCAACCCTCAAAACCCATGTTAAAAAAAAAAAAAAAGAGCCAAGCATAGTGGTGTATGCTTGCCATCCCAGTGCTGGGAAGGCTGTGGCAGGAAGACAGGTAATCTCTGGCCAGGCTGCCTAGCCTCAATGTTGAACTCCAGGTGAATTCAAAACCAAAACAAAACAGGGAGAATAGCTCCTAAGGTGTGATAGCTAAGGTTTACCTCTGGCTCCCACATGCACTCCACACACGCGCACCCAATATGAACACACACACACACACACACACACACACACACACACACACACACACACACACACAAGCTAACATCAAATACAGAACAGATATGGAGACACAGGATCCAGAATGCACACACACACACACACACACACACACACACACACACACGCTAACATCAAATACAGAACAGATATGGAGACACAGGATCCAGAATAAGGAAGAAGGCCAAATGATTTGATAAAAGAAAAAGGGAGAGCCAAGTGGAGAATGAGCCTTGTTCCCGGACATCTAAGCCTCAGTGTAGCCTGCACCTATGCCATCCAAGAGCCTCCAGGCACTGAGGTCTCCCTGGCACAGCACCCACCTTTCTGGAGGTGGCACACACTGCGCTCAGTCATGATGCTGATCCACTTGGGAACGTCGGTTCCTTTCCTTTTCACCCCAGCATCATAGAGCTCCTGTGAGAGATACAGGCAAAAAGTTAACCACACAACCCCAAGCAAGTGTTAATCAAAAGTCCGTTCCAGGGGCTGAGAGATGACTCAGAGGTTAAGAGCACTGGCTGCTCTTCAGAGGTCCTGAGTTTGATTCCCAGCAGCCACATGGCCGTCACAACCATCTGTAATGAGATCTGGTGCCCTCTTCTGTCATGTATGCATACATGCAGGCAGAACACTGTGTACATTAAAAAAATAAAATAAAAAGCCCATTCCAAGTGACAAGTGAGCACACAAGCCCATACTGCAGGTGTGAGCCCCAATGTACCACTTGGTGTACTCCAACTTTTGGCTTCATGGGGCCACACTGGAGCTATCTTCCTAGATCACAAAGCCACTTCCAGCACTTATTAGAAACGTTTCTCGAATACTGGAAACACTCTGCAGTCTACAGAGTACTTTAAGACTGAAGTACATGGTTTTGTCTGCAGCTTTATGATATGCTTTGAGATAACCCAACTGGTAGCCCTCTAAGTAAGGCACACCTAGTTCACAGCTATCTAAACCAGCTTTATGAGGAAGGGGCAAGCCTCTGTCAACTTTACCTGTCCCCACCGAGTGGAGCAGGGAGCTTCCCTGTCCTGCTTGTGCCTCCTCCACTTGCTCCATTCCCTACTAGCTTACTGTCAGGACCTAGCATTTCCGTGCTTGCAAAGCCTGAATGAGCCAATGGGAGCTGGCTACAGACCTGGCAATTGACATCAGCCTTACAAGTATGGTTCCCAGAAGTAGACACAAACCTCACATTCCCAGATGGGTTTCAAAAGGGCCATCACTCCCTTGTAAGGGACATTACTTAGTTCTACCCCTCCCACCGTTATGGGTTGGATTCATGGACTCACTTCTAATAATCAGAGTATGACAAGAGTACCAGTGTGTGACACTTGGGACTCAGCCATAAAAACATAGGGGCTTCTGGCTCCCTCTTAAACCACTCACTCAGGGAAAGCCAGCCACCATATTGTTAGGACATTCAAGCAGCCCCGTGGAGGCCTGTGCTTCTGGAGAAATGCTGCCATCTCTTGCCAACAGTAAGTCACCCATGAACCACATAGGGACGATCCCTTAGACCCAGTCACACTCTCAGGACCTGTAGCCCCAACCAACATCTTGTCTACAACCTCATGTGAGAGCTTGAGCCCAAACATCTGGCCAATCCAGTCCCCAGGCCTGACCCAGAGAACCTGAGAGATAACAAATATTAGTTTGGGGTTATTCATTGTATATAAATAAATGGTTATGTGGGATACAACCCCCTTCAAATGCACAGGCCATGTAAAAATTCAGCCAAGAAGCTTGGCACATACCCGGGCATCCTGGTCAATCAGTTCGTAGTCAATGACCGAACCATCCTCTGCTCTTCGGCCCTAGAGGAAAAGAACCAGGAAGACGGTCAGACCTAGCTCTTTGTGCTTTAAAGGCTGGAGGTGTTTCCTCTCCAACTCAGGTGAGCTGCATAGCTTTGTTCCCGAACAAACACCATATACAGTTTTTCTCATGTTAATCTAGACAAGGTCAAGGAAGAGCAAGATCATCAGAGAAGGAAGTGGGTACACCATGCCTCACCATTGTCAGCCATCCCCCTAGGTGCCCAATCTTGAGTAGGCATCTCAGAATTCTCTGAGCTACACCCCTGAGAAGCTGAAGCCACTTTAATTTCTCCCCCAAACTGTGTGTGCTGGTAAAATGCAAGACCACCGAGAGCGCCATGAGGATGTGCTGTGCAGACAAGGGAAAAGTCTTGCAGAGAGCAGTCGGCCGGCTTGCAGGTGAGTGACACACCACCCAGAGGGGACACAGAACAGAAGGACAGAATCACAGCGATGAAGATGAACACTGACATGCCCAGGTGGTAGGGCTTTCTGGAAGGGTGCAGCAACAATGAGTTTTGGTCAAGGAAGCAAATGATGCAAGTGGATTCTAAAAAGACCCAGGGACTGTGGTGCCCACACAGGGGCAAATGAAGACAAGAGAGCCACAGAGTTGTCACTGTCATGGAGGTGTCAGTGGGCTAGGCTGCAACACACTCCTGGGTCATTTGCCTGAGAGAAGAATCCCCTTCCTTTGACAGGCAGGTGTTCAGGAGCATGCTGGTCAGAACTGGAGATCCACAGGAGACACGCCTCGCACCCATGTGAGTGCGCTAACATTAGCAAAGAGCCCACAAAGGCCCACGCACAGGCAAACATTTGCACACACAAAAAAAGGTGAGTAAGGTCACTTTAGTGGGTTTGGTGTGGCCACATGTAGAGGCAAAGTGACATTCCTTGAGTCACTCAGTGAAGGTTAACACAGAAATCCAGGCCAGAGCTTGGGAGCTGCCCACCCCTCCCCTGGTCCCGGAGTCCAGTTGTCCACACGGTTCTGCAGGATAAGAAATCCTATTAACAAAATGACAGCTCTGCAGAGGACGAATGCAACAGAATTTGTGAGCAGGCACGAGGATTTAGTTAATTCCCTCCCCAGTATAGAAGAAGCTGTGCCTGCTGTGGAAGGAAGAAAAAGGGGGAGCGGGGAGAGACTGAGAGACCAACCTTTGCAAGGGCGACCATCAGCTTTCGGAAGTCACCAGATGTGTCAGAAATGATATCCTTCTCCAGATCGGTCTTGTACACTGAGAAAACAACACATCGGGCCTAATGCTTCCCACTGGTACACCCAACTACCAACCCCAACCAGCTCTCACCCACCAAGTTTCAGAAAGCAGGCATTGATGTGCTAGTGTGGAAACAAACTATTCCTGGGTCCCCATCTGAGGAGGAAGTCTCTAGAAGGATGTTCACTCCCATGAGATCAGAGTTAGGATCACTGTCAGTGCCAACAAACAAGTCTAAATCAAACCCAGGGGTCCTTGGGCTCTCTTTAATCAGCCAACTCTTTTCTAGTTAAAATACTGTTTCTCAAGCTGGAGAGATGGCTCAGCAGATAAAAGTGCTTGGGGCCACATTTGAAGAGCAGGAGGATAGAAGCAGCTGCTTTAGGGGTTGTCCTCTGACCTCTGTATGTGTGCATAACGTGGTACATATGTGCTTGTAATCCCAGTGATGGGGAGGCAAACAGAGGGCATCCCTGGGACTCACTGGCCAGCCAGCCTAGCCTAATTGGTGAGCTCCAGAGGTTTAGTCACACACACACACACACACACACACACACACACACACACACACACTGAGGTGGGGGGAGCAGCTGGGCTAAGAGAATGGACCCCAGAACAGGCTACTCACTTTCCTTGTACACTCTGTTAATCTCCTGCAGCTCCTGGTTGGTTCTGGAGCAGATGATCTCGATGAGGGAGTCTTCATCAGTCCCCAGGCCCTAGGAAGCAAGAAGCCCAGACATCAGCAGCCTTCCTCCCGCTCAGCCTAGTGCAAACACATGGCTTTGTTAGCACCATCCCCCTGCTACATCCCTCTTGCATAGTCCGTGCTCTACTCCTGCAGCACTAAATAAGGCTGGTTTTTATGTCACATCACCAGATCCCAAGGCAGTGTAAGTGGCACATCTATGTCCAACTATCTTTTTAAAAAAATGAATGAGAAGAGACAGCCTTAGATATCCCATAGTGCTAGGGGAGGCCGTGGGCTCCTGCTTGCCGTTTGTCTTTGCTAGTCTCCATCACAGTCACCTGCTGCTTTAATAAACAGGAAATAGTTGTCTTCACCGGACAAGAAATGGTATGTGGTCACCATCAGGCAGCTGCCATAGACTAGAACATCTACTTAGCAGAGAAAGGCTCTGTCAGAGTAAAAATTCGTCTCTCTTCTTTGAAATGCAAAAATGGCTCAATGGTAAAAAATGCATCGTGTGACTTCCATGTTTGCTTGATTTTAGTGAAGGAAAAGGGAATAACAAAAGCGCCAAATAAACCAAGACACCAGTGCTTTATTAGGAAATGAGAGTGAGATACTTGGGTTTAATTTATACACTGTTGAGCTCGCTGGAGAGCTTGAAAGGACTCCATGAAACATGTATTTCAAAGCTGGCTTCCTGATCAAAGTTAAGGCTTAATAACCAGGGTCTTCTAGTACTTGTCTTCATGAATATAGAGGTACCACTTTGAACTAAGTAGAATTACAGCTGTTTAAAATGTAAATCAATTACAAGGTGTTAATACAATAAGAAAGGTACTTATCCACATGAAAAGTGTGTCAGCTATTAATTAAACTTATTAGAGTGTATGTGCCCCTTTAAAACGTGCCTTGTATAATCTAAGCTAAGCCCCGGGTTAATAGTTAATTTTGAATTTTAGTCGTAATCTAATCTTTGACTCTTCTCCCAGAGTTTTTAATCATGATTTTTCACAGGTTCCAGCAAAACCCCAAATTCTTCCCTTGTCAGCGAAAAATCTGCATGGCAACTCCAAATGGGTATTCTGAGATGACCACCAAGCATCTGAATATTTCCAGGGAGAGGCAGTTTTTTTCCAAAGATGACAGGAATGTGAACTGACACTAAGGTGTGTGCCAGGAGAAATGCTGTGTCCTGACACTGAAGGAAAGGGAGATGCCCATACAGTATCTCTCCTCTCATCACCAGTATCGGAGAATTCGAATAGGGTTTTATCTCTACTTTCAAAGGTGACCTTGGCCCAAGCTTTCTACAGCTCACCCATAATCTTACCACAGGGGTATTTTCTCCTGTGATATATGGCAAGACACCACCACTGGTGTTGTCCGAAGTGAACAGATTTTTGTTGTTTGTTTGTTTGTTTGTTTTTTAGAAAGCACTGTTTTAATTAATGTCACTTTAAGATTTGTGTATTTCAGCAGAGTTACTCAACCGGGATAGCTAATGGAAAAGCTGGCATCAGGTCAAAGATGGCACAGTTAAAGCACCTATCGTTGGGTTCAGTTACTTAGATTAGTGGAGTGACTGACAGCTCACACAGGTCTGCTTCAAGTCAATAAGACCTAATAACAGATACCAGGGAAGTGATATGAATCACAGCTAAGTGGATTCTTGACAAAAATAAGATGAACTGATATGAGTGTTGATGGCTAAAGAAACCTAGGCAAGATTGGCTCACACATGGCTACAAAGGTCCAAAGATTTGGCCCTCTCAGGAATGTTACTTTCATCAAGCTCTTGTTGACGTGAAACTACACCCTTCCTTCCTTCCTTCCTTCCTTCCTTCCTTCCTTCCTTCCTTCCTTCTTTCCTACCTTCCTATAGGGTCTCATGTATCCCACCAGGCCTTAAATTCCCTACATAGCCAAGGATGACCTTGGACTTCTGATCCCCCTGCCTCCACATGGGATTATTAGCATGCATCCCATGCCTAGTTTCGACATTCTAGGTTCTATTCTTACTGATATCTCCCCCTGCAATACAGCCTACCTAGGATAGTCAAGCCAAGCCTGCACAAATAAACTGAGCGCCACTGGAGCTATGCTGATGAACTGAAGAAAGAGACATTTAACAAGTCCTACAGTGGCTCTGTGCTATCAAGTCCAGGGTTCTGGTGAGGCCCTGTATGTGAAGGGGCCTCATTCCCAGTGTGTTCTGGGCAAAGGATGACAACTCAACTGTGTGTGATGGATGGCTTCCCCTCACTACAGATGCCTTACCTAGCTGGGCCAGCAGAGGGCAGCATCAGATTATCCAAACGTGTCACAAGCACACAAAAAGGGGCCCTGAGTGTTGCTGTATTGGACATTTATATAGCTCTTTCATTGAAGTAATATTGTGTAGTTTAGGTGGGCACAAAAATCCAAGGGTGCTTCTAAACTAGAATTTACTAATTTAGCCTCCAATCCCATGTTCAAAACAGCTTTGCAAAATCAAAACTTAGATAACATTACACCATGCCAAAGCTTTCTACTGAGTGCAGGTGCCATTTCCAACCTGAAAATCGAGCCCTACCTACCCTACTGCTGATTTGGGACCCAAATCTGAATTTTGGACCAGGACTGGATGGGGGAAAGTCAGAGGAAGTGGCACCAGGAGGGCCTGGGCAGAATCTGCAAGCTTTGCTAAACAAAAGCTGTTTTTCTTTCTCCTTAACACCCCATATATCCTCTTAAAGAGGAAGTGTAATCAAGGAAGCAGTTTCCCAAAAGACATTCCAATCGCCCAGGTGCCGAGTCTGAGCAGCTGCTAACTGGCTTCTCAGCATCAGGAAATTTTATTGCAGTCTTTAAAAAAAAAAAAAAAAAAAAAAAAGGAGAGAAATTGAAATATTTTTGGTTCAAATCCTGACAACTTATAGCATTGGGGGGAAAATGACTTCAAATAAGAATTCAACACAACTGACAATCACCTAATTACACTAAAAAAGCTGTAATCCACATCCATTAATGGGAAAGTTGGCAGATGACATCCCACATGTGTTTACCTTCATGGAGGCCTTCAGTTCAGAAGCGTCGTATTGGGCAGGTGTCTTCAATAGGCCCAAAATCACCGACTCCAGGTGGCCAGATAAGGCTGACTTCAGCGCTGACGGAAGCTCCTGCAAAAGGGAGATGTTTGAGAGCCACACTTACCACCAATACACACTTTAAAACCGGTGAGACAGACATAAGACATCTCTGTCTAAAAAAGCAGGCTGTGGAGGCTTCGAGCACTCTGTGGTCTGGGGAGAACTTCCTCCCCTACATTCCCTTCATCAGACCAAGAGGTCAGAAACAGCATTGTAACAAAACCCATTAATATCCAGGCTGATCACTAGCCGGAAACCGGTGTAGCATAACAGTTCCCCAGAGAGCTACAAGCAGGACTTCACAGTACCATGGGGACACCCTGTGGGAGACAGAGCACTTTCCAAGGTCAATGTCTAGCTGAAAAGAAGTGTGGTAGAAAGAATAGTAGAGCCCACCAAGGCTACTGAGATCCGAGGGAAGGTGTTTATGAAGTTTCTCTAGGGTGGGGCCTTAGAGCCTGCAGAAGGAACCAGATGTTCTAGCAGGGCGGGGAGTGGGGCCGAGCCTTCCCTGTGTAAAACACTGTACCTCACTCACATTGAGCCATCTACTCCTCCAAATTGGGGTGGTGTTAATGAATAGGATGTGAACTCCAGCCCCCTAGAGTCCCCTTTGACTCCCAGCTGAATATTATTTCTTAGGGATGCTACTATCATTGTGAACATACAATTTTAGTAAAGTCAGAGGTCTGAGGCAACGCTTATATATGTAGACAGATATCCTTAATTCCGGGTGGCTCTTAAAGATATTTTCTTGGGATTGGACATCTTGCCAGGTATAGGTACTGAATAGCTGAATTGAACTGAACGGAACTGCAATTGTTTGTCTCTGTCTCTGTCTCTGTCTCTGTCTCTGTCTCTGCCTCTGTCTCTGTCTCCCTCCCTGTGTGTGTGTGTGTGTGTGTGTGTGTATGTGTGTGTGTGTTTGTGTGTTCATGTATGATGGCACACATGTATGTAAAGGTCACAAAACAAGCTTAGCCGTCATTCCTCAGGTGCCCTCCACTCTCTGTTTGAAATAGGGTTTGTCATTGGCCTGAAACTTGTCCATGTAGGCTGGCTGGTGTACAGTTCCTGGGGATCCACCTGTCCTGCCTCTAGAGGTGGTATGTAGCCTGCTTTAGAGACAGTCTTTCCAAACCCACATGTGTCAAGTACGCCACCTGATGGAGGTCTGAGGAAGCATTGGGACCAGCTCATTCACCATCTTTCTCTGGCTTCTGCTGTCCTAAACATGCATGGGTGGTAGGAGGGTCTTTCTAAAACAACACATAGCAATTATAATGGCAGCCTTCCAAATTGGAACCCTGAGGTTAAGTGATCCCAACTTAGTCTGTCCTTGATACTTCCTGCCACTTTATCTCAGCACAAACGAAAATCCCAGAGGGGATTAATAAGAGAACAGTTGTCCTCTGTATAGAAAAACCTCATGTCTAGTACTGGTTTAGATGTGCAAAGCACAAAATCCAAACTTCCTTCCTCCTCATGGACCTCTTTTGCTAGCTGTGCCAAGATCTGCACCTGACTACCCTGGCAGGGTCAGTCTGCATCCCACTAGAGTCAGGTTCTCAACCTTCCTAATGCTGTGACCCTTTAATACAGTTCCTCATGTTGTAGTTACTGCAACCATAAAAGTATTCTCCTTGCTTCTTCATAACTTTAATTTTGCTACTGTTATGAGTCATAAGTAAATATCTGTGTTTTCTGATGGGATCATGACCCACAGGTTGAGAACTGCTCCCCTAGACTAGACCTTGACAAACAATGCATCTGGGGAAAAAAAATGCTAGCACATCCTTCAGAAATGGCCTCAAACAGTTGTGGCATCTTTCTGTGACAGATAATCATTCTGGGCCACCAAGAGTCATCAGGACAGTAGGTTGTTCCTAGCACGTGGCAATGCCTGTGTTTTTGCTGACCCTTCTCATGACTCTGGTAATATCTTTACTCCAGCAGGCTATGAAGGAAGGATCTGTGTTCTCCAGCTACCGAATGCGAAATCAAGCTCTGTTTGTGAGCACAGTTCCAAGACCACACTGAACGAGCAGTTATTTCCTACTGTCTAGTTCCTGTTCCAACAGGAACTTGGCTCTCCCAGCTCTCAGATCCTCTGGGAAAGCTAGAGACATAAACCAGTCCCCTCTGTGCTTCACTGCAGATTAATACAAGTCTAATAGAAGAAGAATTTTAATGCATGTGGGGTGAAGGGAGTCAGCTGTTTTCCTATTTATGTCCTTTCCAACTGCTCCAGAGCATGGAGGAGGGAGCTACAGCCAGGCTTGACCTGTAACTCCCAGGACCTGGTGGTCAGGTCAACTCCTGGAACACACAGTCTCTCTGGCTCCCTTTCAGGTCGCCTCTACTGTGGCCTCAAGTAAGACAGGAGCTGCACGAAGCCAGTCTTAATGACACCGTCCAAGAATAAATGGAAAGCTTTTAATAGTAAAAAAGTTAAAAAAAAATTAAGTGGCACATCCTTAAAAATAAAATTTCCCGATGCTGCAGCAAAATAAGACGAACAAGTGAGAGCTGCTTATAAACCACTGGTGGACCGGCAAAGGAGAAAACACACAAAGACTCCTTAAATAGCAGGATTGGGGCACACTAATGATAGGGGGAAGGACCACAGCAAGTCCAACAGCCAGAATGGTTTGAAGAAGCCAAGCATGTTATTTATTTATTTATTTATTTATTTATTTATTTATTTATTATTGTGTGTGTGCATACGTTAATGTGCGCATGTGTGTTTGCATGTGAAGGTAAGAGGTTGATGTTTGTTTCTTTCCTTAATTGAGCTCCATCTGGTTTTTGAGACAGGATCCATCACTGAACTCAGAGCTCTCTGAATCAGCTAGACTGATTGTCCAGAGAGCCCCAAAAATCCTCCTGTCTAGTCTCCATTGCACTGGGGTTACAATGACAAGACAGTGTATGTAGCTTTTTTTTTTAAACGTGGATGCTGGGTATTCAACTCAGATCCTCATGCTTGAGTGGCAAGCACTTTACCAACTGAGTTGTCTCCCCAGCCCTTCAGTGTAAGTGAGAAGATTCTGTTAGGATCACTGCCCAGCAGAGGAAACCATCCTAAAATTAAGTTCACAGCATCTGGTGAAGAAGCATGAGAAGCCAATAGAGGAAATGAGTTGCTAACGTATAAAGTATTAAGCACAATACCCGATGCAAAGTAAGCACTGGACAAGTGGTACCATTGCCAATATTCCTTTGGTCTATTCCAGAATGTCTCCCTCATGTGCTCCAAGGTGTTGCCTTTATGTTCCAGCTCCCATAGGTGTACCTGTGTGAGTAGCAACCCTCACAAGGATGTAAGAGGGGCACCTTGGACATCCAAAAGTTCTAGAAGGCTCTTTTTGGTTAAAGAAGAGCCACAGTTCACAGAAAGAATGTTGGGGGTGGGGGGATGGCTCAGCAGGTAATGGTGCTAGATGTAAAAAGGCCAGATGTGGTAGCACACAGCTGTAACCCAAACATTTCTGTGACAAGATGGAAAATGAAGACAGGAGAATCACTGGGAAGCTCCAGAGCCTACCACCTTGGAGTATGCAGGGTGACACAAACAAGGGACACACACACACACACAACTAAGAACAGAACAGGCAATATCTGAGGACATAATTCAGCAAGGCCCGCCCTCCACCCCAACAGTCCTGTACCTTTTTGGTCCTTCTCTGATAGGCGAAGGCAATGTCCTGTCTCTGTGCATTGCTGCGGTTAGTCAGAATGTTGACAATGGTGACCTCATCCACTCCTGTGGAGAATCAGTTGTGAAAAGTTACACCACCACACTCCCCTACTTTAAGGCACTTTTATACAGTGAACTCCATGTGTTTTTTTCCGCACCCAATACTAGGATGTCAAGAGCAGCTCTTCTCTCTTCCCTACCCAACACAGATCCTCTCATTGCCCTCTTTCCCAGAAAGCCTTAGACCTCAGGCCTCAACCCTTTAAATATTTGTACTTAAAAAGCTATTTTGTTCATGAATTGGTTCCTGAAATCAACCGTGGGAGGTTTGTGTGTGGGACTCTGGCAGCCAGATGGACTGAACAACAAAGATTTAGGAGGATTTTAAATGAAGGTCCCCAAATTGCCACTTAACTGCTGAGAATTAATAGACAGAACCTTCAAAATGAATTAATAGAGACAATTATTTATATTTATTGCAAGATTATGGCTGTATAAATGGCTAGGTATAATTTCTATAATTATACCAGCTGTCATGACAAACGAGTCAGGCTTAATATGGCAGTTATAGTTTAATAGCTTAATTGATTAATAGAACTACACTTATTGAAGACGAGATTGTCTCACAAGGAAAATACACATCCTGTGCCTTCAATCTTCAATAGGTGACTTTAATAATCAATTTTACAACTGTATTAAAAAAGAGTAAGTGTTTTAATCTAAATTAAATCTAAATTGGGAGTTTTGAAGTGCCACCCAAATGTTTCAGTACCTATTTTAATTGGAACATGTGTATTTACAAAGATAAGCAATGCCTAGTGGTATCTGAAAGTTTCCAATTTTATATCAGAAATATTCCTCACATGTCATTTAAGTCAGGAAAGCTCAGTTTTGAGGATTCAGGCAGAGAGAAGGCTCTCTCCTGTGTGACTACGAACTTTGTTTAATAAAATGAAAGTCTTTGCTGTAACTGGGTAGGTAATTCTGGAGTCTCCGAGCTCACAAGGTCACTCCCAGACTGCACACAGCTTGTCTTTCAGGAAGTCAGAGGCATCCCAGAGCACTCAGGAATCCAGAACTATGATGTCTGGGGGCAAAACCAAGAGCAGATGGACAGGGGACTCATCTTAGTGCTTCATGGGTTTTAAAAAGTTACAATTTCCTGGGTATAAAAATAAAGGTGTGGGCTGGAGAGATGCTCAACGGGTAGGAGCATTGACTGCTTTTCCCAAGGACCTAGGTTGAACTCCCAACACCAATATGGCAGTTCACAACTGCATATAACTCTAGTTTCAGGGGACCCAAAACTTCCCATGGCAAAACACTAATGCACATTGAAAAATAACAATAAAATAAAAAAATAAAGATGACTTAAAATTTTTATATACTCATTTCAAAGTGAGGCCACACCTATAAACATACTAACATATTAACAAATGTCTCTGACCAACTTAGATTTTTAGAGTAGTCTGTAAACACAGTGTCTGTAAACCCTACTGCTAGACCCTGGGTCAGCTCTGAGGATGCTGGTGTCACCCCTTATTTCCAATAAGGGGCTGATTAAATATCCTTTTGTCCACTTATGGGAACACTATGTGGTCATTTAAAATTACAGCATAGATGTAGTGTCTGATCTGGGGAAAATACTCAACATACAATCAAAAGCATGGATTGTAAACCAGTGGGCCCAGTATAATCTGATTTTTATTTAGTTCTTCATTTTGTTTTCTTTCTGCGACAGGGTTTCACTATTTAGACCCAGCTAGCCTCAAACTCACCATTCCTCAAAAAACAAAAAGCAAAACCAAAAAAATAAATAAAAAGTAATATGTGTCTGTTTATTTGACAGGATCTAGAAGGATGTTTATCGAAGTTCAGCAGTGATCATCTAAGGAGTGAGATAATTAATATACTTGCAAAATTCATCATAATGGCTGTATGGGGGGATGGTAAAATACACCATGAATGTTTCACAGTCCTTGAACTAGATCAACCAATGACATCACTTCAGAAGACACTGAGCATGATGTGGCATGGATCTATAATCTCAGCACTTCAGAGGTTGATGCAGGAGGATTGCTGGTTTGGAGTCAGCCTAAGTCATATATCAAGGCTTTCAAACTACTAGGAAATGGGGGAAAAGAGATGCATGCCTATTTTTCTTCTATAGATGGGCAGTCCAAAGCTCAGACTGGGGCCCAGGGCTGCATCAGTGACCTTCGGAAATGTTGGCTCCTGTGAGTTGCACTCTCCATTTGCTCAAGCTAAGAACACTGGAGAAAGACCTGCAGCTCCACATTGAAGCTCTGATAGAACCTAACATTAACCTACATTTGCATGTTATCAGGAATGGCAGTAGATTTAGGCAAAGAGTCTTTAAGGTTAGAAGCCAGAATGTGACCCTTGGCTGATCAGTACTGAAATCCCAGAACACAGTACTAAAATCTCTGTCCCAAGCAAGTAATATGGCTCAGGGGATAATGGCAATTGCTGCCAAACTTGATGATCAGAATTCGAGCCTTGGAGCAACCCACATGGATCAAGAGGACTGACTCCCAAAAGTTGTCTTCTGGCCTCCACATGTGCACCTCAGCACTCTTTCATAGTAAATCAATCAACCAATCAATGCAAACAACAAAACTCCTCAGTCCCCACCAGGGACTTCCTAGGAAGTCCTAATGGGGACTTCCTAGGAACCCAGAAAGCAGCATGTTCACACCACTCCCAGATAACACCTTCTGTGAGGCTCACTGACAAAGATGGGTGAACAAGGCCTGGGAATGGAAATCTACCACTGTGCTGCACTTTTACACCATCGCCTGCTTCCAGGAGGCAGAGGGCTGACTGCAATCTTTGGGAAGGAAATACTTACTTTTCTCTAAACAACCCAGGCAAGAAATAACACCCAGAGGGAGATAGCTACACAAACTGTGATCCCAGCTCTCGGGCAACAAAAGAGCGTTTCTCGTTTCTTTCCACAGCCCTGTATCCAGTTAGCCAAACTTGAGTCAGTTTAGTCTTTAGGAAGTTACTAAACCTGGATCCTCTGCAAGGACAGCAAGCATTAGTAACTGCTGAGCCCCACTCGGGTGATCTTTCTAAAATTATAAAACATACTCCAACCTTAGAAGTTAAAGTTGCCTAAGACTGGGAAAGAAAGAACACATGGATACAGGTTAGAGGTTAAGCATGTATTCCTTGGATGAAAATGGTTAGCTAATCTAATCATCTACATATATCCAGTATTCCAACTAAAGACATGGAGCAGGTCAGTCATTGTCCCTGTCAACCTAAGGAAGGGCTTTGCTAAATGACAGCTCTAAGAAGGCATGATGGACAGCTGGGCTCCAGCAGTGACCTTAGGGGGGTTGGGTCTTTTCACCCATCCACCTTATTTTATTAACATTAAAAAATTCCAAGTAGATGGGCAGTGATGGCACATGCCTTTAATCCCAGCACTTGGGAGGCAGAGGCAGGCGGATCTCTATGAGTTCAAGGCCAGCCTGGTCTACAGAGTGAGACTCAGGACAGCCAAGGCTACACAGAGAAACCCTGACTCTGAAAAACCAAAAAAAAAAAAAAAAAAAAAAAAAAAAAAAAAGAGAGAGAGAGAAAGAAAGAAAGAAAAGAAAAAAGTTTCAAATGTTGGCTGAATTCAAACCCACAAAGCCTGACATTCTCGCTCCCCTCCCCTCCCCTCCTCTCTGTGGGTAGAAATCCCAAGTCTGCTCCAGCGCACTCCTGCATTCCATGGAAAATGTGTGTCTCCACTGTCCGTGGCAAGGAACCAAGAACCATTTGGAACAGGATGCTGACTCACAGCAGCAGACATGCTGACTGCACAAAGAGTGGATTTCGTTTGTTTGATGAGGGCTCAAGAGGCCTCGGGACAGGAGCTGTCTTGGGACAGGAAAGAAAAGGAAACCTGCCTTGTCCAGGCCACCAGGGGTGGGGGGCAGGTGGGGGACCACAGCTCAGATAGCTTGGTATTTTTGGCTTAGAAGAAATCATCTAAGTCTTAAGTATGCCGCAGAGAGGACGGGGCCAGGGACCCAGGGACCCAGGGTTACTATTACAGTTAATAGTACCCACTAGTCAGGATCTAGATCACCTAGGCGACAAGCTTCCGGGAATGTCTGTGAAGGATCATCTGGATAGGGTTAACTGAGGTAGGAAGACCCACTGTAAATGTGGGCAGCACCGCCCCGTGTATAAATGGAGAAAGTGAGCTGAGCACCGACATTTGTCTCTCTCTCTGCTTCATGGCTGTGGGTACAATGCAGCCAGCAGCCGCCTTCACCACCAAGATGGACCATACCCTCCAACTGTGAGCCAAATAAACTCTCCTTCCCTTAAAATGCTCTTGTCAGTTATTTTGACCCAGGAATGAGAAAAATAACTGACACAGGAGGCCTCTGCATGAGCAGCAGCAACAGAGGCGACATTCTGCAAAGTGTCTGGGACTCAGGCCTGTATGATCTGGAGACACACTGCTTCTCTCCCTGGCCTGGTGTTCGCAGACATAAAACAGGGGCCATCGTAAAATGTATTTTGCTAGAACATAAAAAAGACTTGAGTGAATGATAGGAGGCAAGTCCTTCCCTCAGCTTCTCTGACACAGACCTACCCCCGGCCTGGATTCAATTATTGGCCTATGAAAACACAGGGCAGAGAGAAGACAGGACCATGTTTGCTCATGGCTCCCAGGGGATTAACAGTACACTTTCAAGGTAAACTATGGAAGCTCCTCAAGCCCTGGGAGAGAACATATATCTACAGGGTAGGGGCTGAAGAGCATCAGGCCTCTGAGGTGTGGTATAACTATGAGGCATGGACACTTCAAGGACAACCTAGCTAAGTACCCAAGAAGGCATTTTAACCCAGAGACTAAACTTCTGTTCCCACTCTCTTCTAATGCCACCCTGGTTAAATTTCTTAGAAAGGACCTAAGGGCTAGTCTACTTTGTTATAGGCAAGGGATGCACTAATGATCTAGAACCAGGGCTAGGGCTGTAGCTTGCCTAGCATACGTGAAGTCCAGAGTTTGGAATCAAGCACCACATAACCCTGTGTTGTGGCGCATACCTGTAATCCTAGCACTTGGGAAGTGGAAACTGGAGGTTTAGAAGTTTAAAGCCATCCTTGACTACAGAGTAAGTTCTAGGCTAGCCTGGGATACAAGAGACCCTGACTTAATCAATGAAGTCCTTCTAATGCTCAGAGAATAACCTAGTATGTTTCTAAAATTCCATGTAGTACCAGCAGGAAAACACAAAGAAGCAAATTCAATCATAAATGAAGTACCTAGGGTCCTTTTCATGCCCTGACACTCCAGTCACCTCATGGAACAGGAAAGGACAAACCTGGACACTGCAATAGAAACCAGCAGGCCCACTCTTCACTCAAACCATCATGCAGATGCCAGATGCCAGATAAGAATCTGGTTTCTTCTGCTGTTTCTGGGTGAAACTGGTATTTGGATTTCCTTAGTGCACAGAAGGGCATTCTTACAAAGAAGAAAGGGCTGAGGAGAGGCGGCCAATGAAGGCTGTTAGTGCACAGAAGGGCATTCTTACAAAGAAGAAAGGGCTGAGGAGAGGCAACCAATGCCAGCAATGAAAGGGCACTGGGGACTCCTTCCCCTGAGTTTTCCAGCCACCTGGTACCTACACAGCTATGCAGACAATGCCCTTAGAGAGGAAAGCTGTGCTCAGGAGTGAAAGCAACTGAGACTCAACAGGGGCCTTGTCTGCCTCTGAGAACAGCTGTAAGATGAGGTTCAGTTTGCAGTGACCCTCAAGCCCAAGAGGGAGGCCTCTACAAAGGAAAGAGTGGACAGGTTTCCTTCTAGCAGAATGAGAGGGCCCTGCGGCCAATGAGTTTCTCATGGGTGTGCCCCAGAGCAGCAGGGTTTTCTTCAATCTTTGCCTCCCTGATCTTAGAAGTAAGAGCTACTCCCCAGCCAGTATACCTCCTGGCACTCTCAGAGAGTATACTCTCTTAATTGGTCCGCTCAGCTACTTGCATCCCATTCCAGGTATGCAAGTGAAACCAAATTTACTGGTCCTGGCTCACTTTCCAGGGCACAGGAGGGTGGCCTTGCGGCCTTGCTGGAAATCTTAGATGGCTCTATTTTAAAATATAAGAGAAAAGAAGTGCAGAAACTCACTTCTATAGTTGGGCTCACTCATGAGGAGGGGGGCCTCACCCTTCCGGAGAACACAAATACTGCTCAAATCAAAACTGGCAATAATAGAGCAACTCTGGGCCCTCCCCTCTGCAGACGCCAAAGCTGCTCAGATTCATTGGCACCAATGCTAACTCCAGGGCTGTGCTGTTGCTAATTACCATCTATTTCATGGAGTTGAGATTCATCCTTTTCTAATTTAGCTGACTTTCCTTTCTAGTTATTTGGACCCATATGGTAAACCATCCCCAGCTGTGTTGAACATTCCATAGTATATATTTAACCCAAGGCCATTCTAGACCAAGAGACTACTACAGATCAAGTTTCAGAAACCTCTTGTTAATTAAGCAATGTTACTACTTTTGCAAGGCTTAACTCAGCTTCTAACTAGACATAAATTACATGAAGTATTGCACGGTCTACCTCAGGCCAAACAGTAAACACAAGACAACCTTGCACTGGGTTTAGGTAATGCAAGGAAAACGTATTCAATATTCCTCTGACTAGAAACAAAGCTGACTCATGAGAGTAAGCTAAATTCAGCTGGTGAAAATGGATTAAAGCTCATGGGGACCATTCTGTCTTTCGGGTGACACCAGACTCTCTAATGAACATTTGCTGTCTGTCCCCCAAATGCATCTGTGCTCTCTCTGTGTGTGCTCTATTATTCGAGTTGTTACCTCCTCACACAATCTCATGGTCCTGAGCATCTTTAAAAGGTTAAGAGGGCTGGAGAGATGGCTCAGCAGTTAAGAGCAGTGGCTGCTCTTCCAGAGGACCCGGGTTCAATTCCGAGCACCCACATGACAGCTCACAAAGACATACATGTAGGCAAAACTCCAATGTACAGAAAATAAGTAAAAAATTTAAAAGGTTAATAAATAAAACCACTTAAGAAAAGACAGATCTAGACGTTAATAAGTATAACAGTGTGACAACAACTATGATGGAGGCATGACGTGGGAACATAGGAGGCAAGGGGGTGACCAACTCTACACAGCTGTAATCCCAGTAATGGGGAGACCAGGGGAAGAGGATCAATATCTTGGGCTATCCTGGGCTACACTGCAAGACCATGAAGGGGGGAGGGAGGGCAAAGAAGGGGCCACTAAAGTAGAGCCATGCTTGGCAAATGTTAATACTGAAGTCATATACTTGTGGAGTTGCAAAAGCAGAGGCACCATCTGCTAAGTGACACAGTGTGGAATAGGAGATGAAGCTAAGAAAGAAAAACTATAACAGAAGCAGCAGGGAAGCCCATTTTAAAAGTAGCCACCATAATGCGCAAAGATGAACTCTCACAGGTGATGGGAGAAGGGATGGAGTAGACTTACCAGGGTAGAGCCACATCCAGATCTCTGCCCACTCTGCCCCTCCTAATCACTGTCCTCATGCCAAGTGTCCACCCATGCCCAGTCCTCATGTCCAATAGCAACTATTCAGTTCCAGGCAGTGTGTCCTGCCTCCTCCTCCCCTTGCTCTTACTAGCCTGCAAGAGCCCAGCTCACCTTGTCTGTGTCAGGCACAAGGTTACTAGGGAGCAGACAGCCCTGGTTTGTGTCTCTATGGACATTCAAGGTTTACCCTGTTTCCTTTGATGTCAAGACGATGATGCCCGATCCTGATAAAGCATCTGAGATGAAGGTGTTCAGGAGTGTCTTAATCACTCCAGATTCCTCATTATCTAAGTGGTGTTACTTATCTGAAATATCAGGGGCATGTTCTTAATGAACTTGTCCTGCCTGTCTCCAGAAAGACAACGCATAACCATCATGGAAAATTTGGAAAACACAGAAACAGAATATATTGAAAACACAAGAATCAATAATTCATAATTTCATAAGTCAGTTACTAGTACCTTTGGGTTTTTTCCCTTTTTGAGTAAAAATTGTAGCCTTCATAATAGCATATAGTATACTATAGTTCATTGACATTTTCCTGTACAACTAATGAGTTTAAGGTGAATGAATGGTTAAAGTGAGCATATTAAATTGTCAATATTGATAGTTAAACATCTGGAAAATACACTTAAGACAACACTTGTTCAATCTTTTATTGCAAAGGAGCACCAGACTTAAGAAAACTGTTATTTACTAAAACCAATAGGCGCACAAAAAACTAAATGACAGCATGGCCCCAACTGCAGCCATGAGCACTGATGCTGGGAGTTGGGTGGGATAAAGGAAGAAGAAACAGGTGCCCTCGCTAATGCTGCACCACAGCTGTGATGCATATCTTATGGCAACAGGGTCAGACTGGTTTTAGGGAATAAATAGTCTAAGACAAAGGGATGGATCTAATCCTAACTGCTGGGTGTTGTGACATGGGTTGTGGATGGACTTGGAAGGACTATGATCAAATCCAAGCCTGAACCAAGGCCAACAGTCACCAAGCATGTTAACTAACCCTCCTCAGTGTCATATGTAAATTGGGAATGGCACAACATGGCATCAGAAATTAATCTGAAGGTCAGCTAATCCAGAAGCTCCAGAATGGCTCAATGCACTATCAGCTCATCATAAGCACCTAATAATATTGGCGAAGACAACCACAACATGGTGGTGGTGGTGATGTCAGCCACGCGGGCCCACACAGGAATGTGGGAGCCCATGTCCCAGCCCTCCGGGCCTTCCTGCTTGGGAACTACAGTGTTTTTCTGCTGACTTGGAGAAGGGCCTAGAAGTATTTTTATTAACGTGAGCATTTTAGCTGTGGCCAGAGTTCATCTGTGCAATCTTTACATTCCAGTGGGCTAAGAGCTTTCTCACGCAGGGATAAAAAGCACCTTTGTGCTAAGCTTGTAAAAGACACCATCTTTGTCAAATGAGTTAACTATTAACCTCTAGGGTGTTTCTGCAAAGGTATATGGAGAAATCATAAGAATCACATGCCCAGTGGTGAAAGAGGGATTGTTTTAAGAAAGTAGATTATATGTAGTGTGTGTGTATGTGAGTGTGTGTGTACATGTTTTAAGGCAGCAATTTTTTTCCTCTTAGGGGTGTGTGTGTGTGTATGTGTGTATAGGTGTAGGTGTAGGTGTGTGTACAAGAGAGTGGTGCCTGAATAGGGCATCTGATACTGATACTCTGGAGCTGGAATCACAGGTGGTTGTGAACCGGCTACACTATAAGTTCAAGGCCACCCTGACAAGAAGACAGGTATAGGGCCTACCTTTGGTCTTGACAGCCGTCTCGATGTTCAGAGCGTCCCTCTCAGCATCAAAGTTGGTGTAGGGTTTGACTGACCCATAGGCACTTGGGGGTGTGGAGTGCTGCGATGAGAGCACAAACACACTCAGATAACACACTGCAAGTCCTCTCAATGAAAGAATGCCCCTGAACCCAGATTCCAATGTTTCTCGTAATAATTCTAACCACTTTCGTGATAAGTAAATAGGTGTTTACAGGCTACCACACTCCAGTTGTCTTTTTTTATATTAGGTTTTTTGTGATACTGGGAATACAGCTCAATTGGTGGAGTACTTGCCTAATGTAGACTAAGCCCTGACTGTCATCTCCCAGCACCACATAAACTGGGCCTGGTAGCCCATACCTATAATCCTAACACCCTGGAAATAGAAGCAGGACGATCAGAAGTTCAAAGTCATCCTCAGCTACATTATAAGTTTGAGACCAACTTTGGCTACAAGAGACCAGCCCCCCCCCCAAAAAAAAAGGAAGAAAGAAAAATTTTACTTTTCCACAGAGTTGTTTTTCACTAGTTTAGACCATACTGTGCTTGTACTCTGCATTTTACTTGTAGTAGGAGCTTCAAAACAGAAGGCACCAAGCTAGAGACCTGAGACCAGCATCTATGCAAGTTTCTGAAGAGAAAGAAACTGGTCTAGCAAGAATTTGAACTAAGTCAAAACTGTGGAAATGTCTGAAAGATAGCATGCACTGCCAAGTGTTACTACAGGCCTGGGCTGCCAAGATCCACACTCTTTAAACAGGGAATGCAGGACTGGGGATGGGTCAGTTGGTGGAATGTTTGCCCCGAGTGCATGAAGCCCTGAGTTTGATCCTCAGCAGTATGAGTGAGGGATGGTAATCCCAGCGCTGGGGAGGTGGAGGCAATCGAATCAGAAGTTCAAAGTTATTCTTAGCTACATGGCAAGTTTCAGGCTAGCCTGAGATACATGAAGCCCTGACTCCCCTCGCCCCCCCCCAAAAAAACAAATAAACAAACAAGCTAATGACAGCGCTCATCCCTATGCCTCTATGGGTTGTGCAAGGGAAGGGACTTCCTCCAGGCGTATGCTGTGACTACCTTTATGGCACCAAGGTGGGCGAGAGCCAGCCCACATCCTCTTTACTGTGACAAGTTCCTGTTCTTCTCCCTTCTCCCTTCTCCTCAGTGCTCTCCTCTGCCTCCTCCAGGATGCCCTTGCCTGCTGCTCCGCCTGGCACATTTTCCTTACTGTCTTTTAAATGTCCTTCCTCTTTGGATGCCTGTCGGAGGCCACCACTTTCCTGTGCTGATGAACTGGACTCTCTGCCCATCCACCCCCAAGACAATGGCCTACTTCTCTATCCATTCTCTCTTCTATGCATTTAAATTCCCTCTTCTTGTGAACTGTTTCTGCAGGGATAGCCTGCCCCCAAATGAGAGGCTAACAATGGGTATGAATGATGTGACTTTGACTGGTGAATGGTCCTGAACCATGTACCACTGATGTATCTCCTACATGGTGGTGCTTCACCGAGCAATGCCCCATATCACAGCCTCCCTGGTACATACAACGGGTGATGGTGACACATGATGGTGACCAACCTCAGGGTAGCTTCCAATGGTATCACTGTGGTGATAGCAATGATCTGCTCACCCACAGGTTTCCTGAGCCAGCCCAGTACCCACACCATTGGGTTTCCTTACTAGTAAGGTGACACAAGGAAGCAACTGAGATCCACACTCCCCAGTGTCCCTGGGAGAAAACTAGAACTTTAAGTTCAGGGTCAGACACCTGTTAAATGGGGCCAAATGGTAAATCTAGTTCATATTTATAGTTCTGAAACACAAATGCATGATCTAAGTTTGCCTTGCCCAATTTCACCACTTTCAGCCATGCTCAACCTTGCGGCATAACATAACTATCTACAAAGTTCATGCTCAAAAATGAGGCAATTGAGTTACAAAATAATGTCCCCTAGTATTTTAAGTAAGTTTATACTTTTGTGGTGGGCCCCATCTATACCTATCTTGGGATACATATGGCCTATGCGATTGTCGGTTGGGCACCGGTGGCTCAGGTAAGGGAACACTCTGGGAAGATTGATGAAGTGATGCAGCATACATGAAGACAATTTCAAGCAAAGTGCTTCCTGGAAACGTGTTTTATATTTATTCTTGTTAGCTACAGAAAAAAGTGGGCAGGAATGTAAGGAAAATTTTTTTCTGATTCTTAACAGGGCAGGCAGCTGGCCATGTGCCCACAACATGCACACGGCTCACTGGTCAGGGGATATGTTGTCATCATTAAGTGAGTGGCAGAAAGGTGGGTGTGGTCCTGTGGTTACTCTAGAAACATAAAGAAATGGCTAATCAGGTGCCTATAAAATCCATTTGTCTGAAAATTAAGTTATTGGGTAAAAGTGATCTTTCCTTTGCTTACAATAATGGGCAATATAGGGTGTTTTCCAGTTTAGTCTCATCTCTCCACACCTACTCCTAGGGTAGAGTAACTTCAAAAGCTGACAAAATAGCTCTCTTACAAACCCTTTATTTGAAGGGTCTAAACTTGATACATAGCCAAGGATGACTCTGAGCTTTGAATCCTACTGCCTCCCTGTCTCAAGCGCTGCAATTACAGATGTGCACACCTGGTTTCTGCAGTACTGTGGATGGAACCTATGGCTTCACACCAGCTAAGCTTAGGCATATACTCTGCCAGTCTGGCCACTGTCATAGCGACTTCTCATGAAACTTCATACCAAGAACAATCTAATCATCAAAGACATTAGATAAAATCTGTTAGAGAAACAAATTATATAACAGTAAGACTTGTCTAGGTCCTAACAGCAAGCCAAGTTCCAAGACAGGGAAGATTTAAATGAGGAAATAACAAAAAGGCTTTAATATTCCACACAGTCTGTGTTCAGGCAGGCCCAGTCATTTGCACATTAAGAGAGCAGGTGCCACAGACAACAAAGAGTGGCTTGTACACATGGCCCAAGTTGTCACCTATCTTTTGAGTGGCTCTTTAAAAGACAAATTTTACTTCTGAGCTTCCTCATAGACAAAATAAAACAATGACAAAGCCCTATGATTAATTATATAATTATTCTTTTTTAAAAAGATACATTCTGTTTTATTTTGTAGAAAAGCTTTCCCGGGTGCTATATTAAACAGAAAAGGAGAGGCTTGTGAGACCCCACTCTAACTGAGGAAGTACTGTAGTTGATGGCTGCTTTGAGAGAGAATTGCTTTTCTTTGGGGGGACGTGGTCACTGGCAGGTTATCCATAGTCCAGTGGATGCAGACTCATGCACACATGGGCAGCAGTAATTGGACTCAGGGAATTAATAATAATAATAACAACAATAACAATAATGCTGCCATAGGCCATTGCCTAGAAGAATATTCCAGATATTCTAAGAAGCCTAAAAGACACTGGAATTCTTTTTTGACGTGGCTGAAGCTTCTGATAAACAAAATATCAGGACTTGACATTAAAAACTCACATGTCACCAAAGCAATAATTACCACTCATGGAGTAAGTCTGACAGAACACAATTCCAGCTATTTCCTTCTCCATGAGGCTATCTCATTCGATGCCAAAAAATGTTTTAGCACCATGACATTTATTTCAAATGAAACTGCTAGGAACAGTTAAAGCAATGAGTAACTGGGGCGCAGTGGAGACAACTAATAATGACTGAATTATGGCCCCATTTTCCTTGTGTATACAGGGAGATCGTAGCACAGTTCAACAGATGTCCAATTCATAAAATCACACAAAGTGAGAGACTGGATACTTACATCGCCCTCCAAGCTGAGCTTGCACAGGATTTCGTGGACAGTAGACATTTTGAAAAAGAAGCTGAAAAAAAAAAAAGACATACAAAGTCTTTAAAAGGCAGCTTTCTTTCCCCCAAGCACAGCAACTCATCACTAACGTCTGCTTGGACCATTGAACCTGAGGCTGTTAAAGCAAGCATTTTTTCAAGCATGCAATTCTCAATCTTATCATTGAGAAAATTAAAGCTTAGAGATGGGTGCCTTAGGTTGGGGATGGATTACTAAGCTAGTCTGTCTCTTGCTCTGGTTAAACAGGACCTGGAGGGTCTGGTCTGTGAATGCCAAACCTAAAAGCTTCCTGTGACAAACACCACTCATTCAAACAGGGATTGGGTTTTTCCATCAAAAGCAATAAACATATCGAAACTGCCATTACTTGTGTGTCGCTCTCAAGTGACTCCGAATAGTAAGAAGCACATGAACTGGGATCAACACTGGCTCCATGTCAGCCTGATCCCCAAATAAAACTTTAATATTAGCCTACAACCATTTCCTCCAGTGATACTCACAAGATGCTTGGGCTAGGTGATGAGTTCAAACATAACATGCATGCCTTATGAGCATAAGGACCTTAGTTTGACCCCCAGAATCCACATGAAAAAGTCTGGGAGATGGGGGACCCAAGCACACAAATATGCACACAGGTAAACACATGCAAAGAGAGTATTAAACTGTTTATAAAATGCAAATAGACCAACTTTTGATATGAACACATCTCACTGAGGGCTGACCTTGCATTTAAGATTAAGAGCAGTTGCTATGTCATCATCTTCCATAGAATACATGTTATCAGTCGGAGCTGCCATACTGATGAATGGCCTTTCCCTGTGTGTGGACTAAGTTGTTGGCGTTGATAGTCCCAAATGCCTACCTAGCCCCCACCACCAAGAGTGACTCCTGCTGAGACAAGACAGGTCATTCTTCATAATCACCCTAAAGAAGAACACAGCACACAGCCACCTCCCCAAAAGGTTGCCAACAGTATTTGCATTAGCAGTGCCGGAATTAAACTCTCTATTTTCTTCATGGGGCTCGATTTGCCTAGATGTTTTCATAAAACTGCTTTGAAGACAATATATGACACAGCCATTTGGCAACTTACAGGAATACTCTGAACTAAGTGAATTCTAGGCTGTGGGAGGTGGGAGGTCAGGGAGAGAGAGTCACCTTTATTTGTGGTCAGGATGTACTTTTGAAAGATGCTCACTGCCCCTCCCTCAAGCCTTTTAAGCCAGGCAAAAAGGAAGGTCACCAAAATCATTTGAATCACCTCCACTCTGTCAGCTCCCTCACTGCCTCTTCTCCCTTGTGTGTCCCCTGTATGTCCCCTGTGTGTCCGTGCCATTCTTCATGGTAAAAAGTCTAGCTCTATCAGTACATTGTGGTTCATCAAAAAAAAAAAAAAGCCTATTATTTAGTGCTAAAAAGTTCTCAATCCCAACAGAAGACACAGTGGAGCTTCAAATGCACATTACCAAGCGAGAGGAGGTGGCCTGAAAGGCTGCACATGGTTGATTCCAGTTACAGAGCATTCTAGAAGAGGCAACTCTGTGGAGGTAATGAGATGGTGAATGGTTGCCAAGGTTGGAGAAGACAAAAAGGTGTAGCACAGTGTGTGGTGTGTGTGTGTGTGTGTGGGTGTGTGTGTGTGTGTGTGTGTGGTATGTATGGGTATACTAGTGCGTGTGCACACACACTTGTCAATGGCATGCATGTGTTGTGTTGTGTGTGTGTGTGTGTGTGTGTGTGTGTGTGTGTGTGGTATGTATGGGTATACTAGTGCGTGTGCACACACACTTGTCAATGGCATGCATGTGTTGTGTGTGTGTGTGTGTCTACAGAGGCATGAAGAGGTTGTTGGATACCCTAGAACTGGAGTTCAGGTGATTGTAAAGCATTGATGTAGGTCCTGGGAACCGAGCTCAGGTCCTCAGTAAGAACAACGGAGCTCTTAACCTCTAAGCTCTCCCCAGTCTTTTCACCTGTTGCTATTATTATTGTTGCTGTTGTTGTTGTTGTTGTTCTGTATTTACTTGTGCGTGTATATGCACACGTGCGTGCTATGGCATGCAAGAAGAGGACAACTTGTGCGAGTTGGTTCTCTCCTCCCATCATGTGGATGATCACGTTTGGTGGCGAGTGTTTGTTACCTACGCCATCTCACTGGCCCTTTATTGATGTTTAATGTGACTACTAGAAAATTCGACATTGAATGTGCTCCTCACATTCTGTGTCTACATAGAATGAATGGAAACTAGCACTCAACATATGAGCACTGGTCTAAAAGAATTCCAGAAGGACGCAGTCCAATCTCACCCCCAAAGCCTCTTCCTCAGCCTATTCAGACATCTTCCTTGGCGGAGCATCTCTCCATTCTACCTGGGCCTAAACCTGCCAGGGGCTCCCATCAGATTCACTTGGCCTAAGAGTTTCCAGAGCAGATAAGAGCAGGTATTCTCTGCTTTGCAGGTTTCCAGTGTAAAGAATTAAAATGCAAAGCAGAATGAAACAAATGAAAACCG